CCGCTTTCCGTTCAAACACTGCATTCAGTTCTCGCATACAATTGCTTTCGAGTGCACATCAAATGTGTCCCAAACTCTCCATCATCCCTTCATCCCATTCCTCCAATAGGGATAAAATGTGAACAAAAGAAAACAATTTTGCAAAAAGTTTTTCAAACAATATTTCATGAATTTTATTGAGAATATAATAATAAATCAATTGAATGGAAGAAACAGTGAAAATTATGCCTCAATTTTATTCTAAATCTGTTTTTATGTCATTTATAGACAATTTATTACGAAATAAGTTTTGTTTCAAAACATAATAAATAATTTGAATGAATGTATAAAAATGTATATAAAAATGTTGAGAAATCATACATAATATGAATAACATAAATGTCATTCTGAATCTACCATTCATTTGGCATTCACTGGCATTTTAGTGCTTAAGAATTGGCATTGGATTGCATTCAACACTCGACTCGCTTTTATTGTCGACCCATTTGTTTGGCGTTTTGTGTCACTGTTTGGCCATTCGTCGCATCATTTTAAGCAAATGCTGAGATCGGGCTGTCATTAGCGCCTCCTCTAACACCTCCTGTATGTGAACCAAATCGCAGACATCACACGCAAGAGTCACGTGTCGTGTCTTTTCGCCACAAACACCGCTCTTCAGCTCAAACTTCAATATGATTTCGGGTTTCATCTCATCTCTGGCCACACGTGAAGACAATTGAGTCTGAAATCTCCACTCCAGAGATGAATATTGTAAGGCTTGTAGTGATTGGCTCTCCATTTGTGTCTATTTTAAGAAAAATGAAGACAATTGTTATTATCAATGATTGGCAATCAAAACAGACATTCATTTCTAATGATCACGACTTGTATTCAATGATATAATCATATAAATGATGGTATTTTAGACATTAATTAAAGACACGACATTTCAATATCATAAGAAGTTCTTATTAAGAACCATCAATAGTGCAATATTGCACAAAATGTACCATGCTCATGTACATGATCATGCACAAAATGTACACTTTTCATATGGCATCATTAGTGCATATTTAGTACACTATATATGGTTTGTGTACAATATTAGGGCATTTGATTGTCTACTGTTTAATTAGTATTGAAATTGTAAATCACATCAATAGTGAAGACATGATTTGAGTTATAATTTCAAATTTAAATGTGTATTGAAAATGTAGAATAAGCATGATACTATTGATGTCATTGGTACAACTGGTTAAACAAATAAGAGATTGAATCAAATAAATGAATGAAGGGTTGTATACCTGAGCACAACGTGTGTAGTATTGAGTCACTTGGGATCAGATGAGTGACTGAAGAATCAGTATTAATAGTCAAGTTCTTGAAACCCAATGCAGACAACTCTTACATCAGTCAACACAACTCACATACAAACACCTACTTTACACCAATAATACATGGTTTGGGGCCTCTCATAGAGTAAGACTGTATTACTAATACAACACCCAAAACATGTATTGAAACCTAAATCCTTGATAAATGCCTTTTAAATTGAAACAAACTTAAGGACTGATTGACAAAACATTGCATTTGCGAGATATGAATGGTTTGATTGCTATTAACTAGCGAAACCACAAAAGTGCACCTTTGGTGCAACTTTATATATATTATAGCGTAAAGGGATTTTTATTAATAGGTAAATTAGAATATGAGTGTTGCATTTGTAATAAAAATACACTAATGAATCATTCCGCAATATACATGAAAAACATGATTGGTTTCCCTACTATTAACATCTCATTTAAACGTGAAATGTAAGCAAAACTTGAATCCCGTTTTAATGTTATGTTAAGTTCAGAAGGGATTCAGTATTGAGTGTGACTTTGCATTCATTACAGCATATATTTAGACAACTGTTTGCCAAACACAGCAAAAACGGATTGACAGGTGTGTTGTGTCCGCCGGTCTCTCCCTATACTGTATTAAGCGGTCGTATACTTAGTATTAGGCACTCAATAGCGGTTCCAGTGCTCAGAGTGTGTGAGTTGTAGTCTAGACGTTGTGGTTGTGTTTGTATTACCACATGATATGATACCTAAAGAGCAAAGTATAAACGTTTGGATGTGAAGGACAGGGAGTGGAGAGAGAAGTGTAGGGGAGAGACAGGCAGAGAGACTATAATCATATAAATGATGGTATTTTAGACATTAATTAAAGACACGACATTTCAATATCATAAGAAGTTCTTATTAAGAACCATCAATAGTGCAATATTGCACAAAATGTACCATGCTCATGTACATGCACTTTTCATATGGCATCATTAGTGCATATTTAGTACACTATATAATATATACATGTATATAGTATATATGGTTTGTGTACAATATTAGGGCATTTGATTGTCTACTGTTTAATGAGTATTGAAATAGTAAATCACATCAATAGTGAAGACATGATTTGAGTTATAATTTCAAATTTAAATGTGTATTGAAAATGTAGAATAAGCATGGTACTATTGATGTCATTGGTACAACTGGTTAAACAAATAAGAGATTGAATCAAATAAATGAATGAAGGGTTGTATACCTGAGCGCAACAACATGTGTAGTATTGAGTCACTTGGGATCAGATGAGTGACTGAAGAATCAGTATTAATAGTCAAGTTCTTGAAACCCAATGCAGACAACTCTTACATCAGTCATTGACTGACAGTCAACACAACTCACATACAAACACCTACTTTACACCAATAATACATGGTTTCGGGCCATTCATAGAGTAAGACTGTATGACTACAACACCCAAAACATGTATTGAAACCTAAATCCTTGATAAATGCCTTTTAAATTGAAACTTAAACTTAAGGACTGATTGACAAAACATTGCATTTGCGAGATATGAATGGTTTGATTGCTATTAACATCTCATTTAAACATGAAATGTAAGCAAAACTTGAATCACATTTTAATGTTATGTTAAGTTCAGAAGGGATTCAGTATTGAGTGTGACTTTGCATTCATTACAGCATATATTTAGACAACTGTTTGCCAAACACAGCAAAAACGGATTGACAGGTGTGTTGTGTCCGCCGGTCTCTCCCTATACCGTATATTAGGCCTGAATAGCGGTTCCAGTGCTCAGAGTGTGTTGTATAGAGTCTAGACGTTGTGGTTGTGTTTGTATTACCACATGATATGATACCTAAAGAGCAAAGTATAAACGTTTGGATGTGAAGGACAGGGAGTGGAGAGAGAAGTGTAGGGGAGAGACAGGCAGAGAGACGGAGAGAGAGAGAGAGAGCAGAGAGGAGAGAGAGGGAGAGTGTGTGTTGTGTGCAATACAAGTGTTGTATTGAGTGAGTCGTGAGTCGCGTCTCATTCGCTCACATCTCGTGTTTGTCTTCACTTGACTTGAGATCTGGTTTTAATTGTTATCAATATTTCCATTCATTTTATATCATTTAATCAATTGATTTGATTTAACAATCGCTTCACACCTCCCGTCAAACAGTAAGATATGATTGAATACACAAATTGTTTGTTTAAAACACTAAAATATATGACAAATCGATAAAATATTTAAACAATTTTTTCAATTTTAACAAATGATTAATAAATCGATAAATATATTTGCGTTTTGTATTGCATTTCACTTAACATTATAATCAATAATTGAATAGATATCTAATTATTGAATGATTTTAACGTACAATACATTAACAAATAATAGTTAGGATATATATTAGGGGGAAAAACGAGTGAATAATATTAATGTTAGTGTCGTTTCCTCCTACCAGTGATTCCTCTGCGGTGTTGCGTCAAGAAGTACGAGTGGGGGCGCAAAGGGATGGACAGCGCTGTCGCCCGCTTTGTCAAGAATCAGATGTCCGGCTATTCAGTCGATGCCGACTCTCCTCACGCCGAGGTATAGATCGATCGCAACCACTGTTTATACACAGAATATTCTGTATATTTCTGACGCAATGTATCTCTTGGTTTGCCCTTAGCTTTGGATGGGAACCCACCCGTCGGGCCCCACAATCATTGTGAGCCCAGACCCGGAACTGGACAACAAAACGCTATTGAATTTATTGGAAATGTTTCCGGAATACGTGGGAACAGTCAATATTGTGGCCAAATATGGGGATAATCTTCCGTTTCTGTTCAAAGTGTTGTCTGTAGGGAAGGCGCTGTCAATACAGGCGCACCCAAACAAACAGTTGGCCGAAGTGTTGCACCGAACGGATCCGTTTCATTACCCGGACGCTAACCATAAGCCAGAATTGGCGATCGCGTTGACAGACTTCGAGGCGTTGGTTGGTTTCCGACCGCATTCAGAGATCGAGGCGTTTTTGGATAACGTGCCAGAGTTTAGAGCTGTTGTCGGCAACGAGTCGACCGCTAATTACAAGAATTCCGCGGATAAGAAACAGGGACTCAAACAGTTCTTCACGACATTGATGTCGGCGCCCGAGAATGTGGTGACGCAGAACTTGGAGGCACTCGTCCAGCGCTGGTCCAGAGAGGAGACTATAGATCCCGATAAGGAAGCGCTGCGCCAATTGTTCCTACGCTTATACTCGCAGTTCCCGAACGACATCGGGTGCTTTGCCATCTTTTATCTCAATTATCTCAACTTAAAGCCCGGCGAAGCCATATATCTCGGTCAGGACGAGCCTCACGCCTACATATTGGGAGGTAATGACAGCCCAACCCATGATTATTAGTATTTTTAGTGATAATTGTTTTTGTGCCTTAAGATTGCATGGAATGTATGGCCTGTTCTGATAACGTGGTTCGCGCGGGACTGACCCCTAAGTTCAAGGACGTGAAGACATTGAGCAATATGTTGACATACATTAGCAAATCGGCAAAAGACCAGTTCCTGTCGCCAAAAGTGGTGGACGAGTTCACGAAGTCATATGTGGTTCCGGTGCCCGAGTTTGTGGTCGACGCCATCCAAGTGGACGAACAACACGTGAATTTTGCGTTTGAATACACGCTGACGAAGAAGGAAAGCGGTTCCATATTGATTATCATTAGAGGTGAGTCCAACTGCAACGGAACCGCTCTGACTCCCGGTTACGTCGGCTTCATTCCCGCCATGACTTCTCTCCGTATAAATCAACTGAAATCTCCACTATTGCTATACAGAGCCTATTGCCGAACCGATTGAGTAATAATTAGTCGTCTATTAGTTTAGTTTTTAGTATAACTTTATTTAACAAAACGTTTATACTTTATATCGAGTAATATATATAATTTTTAGTGAATCTTCAAATGTATTCTAATCTATCATGTGATACACAAATTGAATAATCGATTCAAACATTTAAACAGTTTTAAGTATTAATATATAAAACATTTCTATTGGAAAATTATGTCAATAAAAACGATTGCAATAAATTTTAGTCACGGCTTTGAACGCGTATATACTCTTTGTTTGTATCCACCGCTTGGGTTGGAACCGCTGGTCGACGGCTTCGGTCGACTACTCGTATGTGAATCGCTGTTAGACTGACTTTGAGAGCAGCCGTCAGTTTTGTCCGGGCGTTTAGTAGTGGATCCGGGTTTATAAATCTCACGCGTCGGCCGGTCTTTGTTGCGGATTCTTCTCGAATCTTCTCTTCTCGTATCACTTCTCGAACTCTGGCCCGAAGTTCTGGTCGACGTTTCGGGTCTTTGAGTTTTGGTGTCATTGGATTTACTTTCGGTCAATTCTTTCGATTCACGCGGTTTTACCACATCTTGTGCTCCATTGTCACCGCTCTTCTCGTTCTCATTCTTAGTCTTGGATTCATTCTTACTCTCATTCGCGTGACTCGTATTTGACTGCTGTTTGGTCTCGGCGTTAGCGTTGTTGACAACTTTCACAACAAATGTGGACTCGTTGTTGTCTTTGGAAGAATGGCCACTATTTTTGTCTTTATATCTATCGGATCGGTTTCGATCCCGTCGTCTCGACGATGTCTTCTCCGATGTCTTCACGTTCTCATTGTTTTTGTTGTCACTCTTACTCTTATCGAAATCCTTGTAATCCTTGGTATCTCTCGGTTTGATTCTAACCCTTTCGTCATCTTTTTTGTTGGATTTCTCTCTCGGATTTTCATCGAATTCTTTGTGTCTTCTATTATCGTCTTTGGATTTCAATAGTTTCGCTCTTTTCTGTTGGTCTTCCAGTTGTTTGAGTCTCCGTTCTTCGCGTCTCTCCTCTCGCAACCGATTTTTCTCGATTCGCTTATTCTTAATGAATTCAATCAAAGGAGTACTCATTTTCAAACAGCCGTGATTCGCTCTCAACTGCTTATCTCTGGCCTCAATCTCTTCGAGATATACTTCAGCCGAAGGCATGTTTGCCTCGATCTTCACTTCATTCAACTCTTGGAGAAACTGCACGAAATCGGGGTCTTCTTCGATGGTTCCGCACTTATTGTCCCGACGTTTCGATGTAATCGTCTCGCCGTTGAGGCCAACCCTTCGGCGAGCGGTTCGCTGATAGGGAGCGAACTCTACAATAGCCGGGAATTCGTTGCCTTTGGTGTCGATGAAGACATAGCCGTCGAACTTGTCTTTGAATACAAACACGTCTTCCATGTGAACGAAGTTTATATACGCGCGACAGAAGGCAAAGACACCCAAACTCTGGTCACTTCGACAGAAGTAGTAATCGTTGTGCTCAGGAATGGGCGCAATGTCTTCGAGGAACTGTTCCGAAGTCATGGTCGGCGGTAAGTGACGGATCACTACCTGTTGTGAAGCAACAAATCAATGTTAAGTGTTTGACAACAATGCTTACTCTCGTGGGAGGAGTGTCTCGAATCCTGTCCTTCTTCTGACTCAACACAGCATTGGTTGACGTCTTGGTCGCCGAACTCCTGGTCCGATCACCGCTGGAACCGCTCTTCGCCGCCGATTCTTTGTCCTCTTTCACCGCCGCATCCGAGTCTTCGGTCATTTTGGACTCAATTTTTGCTTAAATGTCTTAAGACTTAACGCAAATGTAATGCAAAACGAGTTCACAATTCAAAGCAAACAAATATTCGGCAAATTTGTTGTCATTTGAATTGAAATCACTTTTAATTCAACCAAACATTGATTGCAAAACATATGACAACAAAACACAACACAATTCTCCCATTGATTCAAACGCTTTATTATTATTATACCATCCCTTCAAATGAATCCGGTATTCAATTTGAATACTATTTTCGGGGGTTTTGTATGAATTGCTATTTGTAAAAGTGAGTCATACGATTAAATACAATCAAAAAATACATGTTTATGGGCACTGAGTACGACATAATTAGGCCCCAAAACATGTATAGATATATAAATATAGTATGAGTTGTAGGGTTTGTATGGCTTTTCATATGCTTTAAGCGTTGAGTTGTGTTGACACACATTGACATACATTTGTCTGCAATTGATTCCCAACTGATTGACAATAGATTTGATGGCAGTGTTGAGCGTCGACTGATCTGATCCCTGCAGTGACTTCTCAGCCAATCAACACATCGACCACAACAACAACAACACACACAATGTCTTCTTCGGGTGATTTCGGTAATCCTCTGCGAAAATTCAAACTCGTCTTTCTTGGAGAGCAAAGCGGTTAGTCTTTTGGTGACAATTGATTGTAGTTGTGATTCACACCTCTTGGATGTGATTGTCATCTAATGGTTAATGTCTTGGTTTCAGTGGGCAAGACATCGCTGATCACGCGTTTCATGTATGACACGTTTGACAACACATATCAGGCGACCATCGGAATCGACTTCTTGTCCAAAACCATGTACTTAGAGGACAGAACAGTTGAGTCCATATTATCATTGAGTTTTACCATCTATTTCTGATGCCATTATCTTCTCTGTGGTTATCACTTAAATCTATACTCTTTGTGAACATCTCTTCTTTTATATCTTTA